TGTTTTCACTACGTTAGTCTTCCCGCCTCCAATCCAACAGCCTAAGCAGCTGCTCAGCCTCAGGAAGAGCCTTCTGCTGAGAGCCTTCTGCGCTACTCACCATTTAACAGAATAAAGTCTAAATTCTCGAGCCTGCCCATCACCGCCACTGCCACCTGAGGTGTTCACACCACCCCAACAGCTCCCTGAACCTGCTCGGCTTCTTCCTCACTCTGTGCCCTCTCTTGGCCTGTCCCGGTTCTCAGTCACTCCCTCCAGGAAGCCTTTTTTCCAGAAGAAGCGGCCAGTGACCGGTTTGGGTGGCACTGAGCGACTGTCTCCTCTCCTACAGGCAGCTCCCACTCTGCCGGGATGCCACCAGCTGGGGCGCACTGGGGTCTGACGACAGAGAGGCCCGTTCCCAGCCACTCCCCGCCGGAGCTCTGGGCTTCATTATATTCTCTAGTTCCGTGTAGGGTGCTGCACTGTTTTGACAGTATTCCTCACAAACGCTAGATATGAGATATAAAGACTTTAATGAGTAACTCAAAAATCTTAAATGTACTTTATTTTGCTGTCTTTCTAAGGAATTATAAACTAATATGGCCACAATGTTAAAGGTACTTCTGAAAAAGTAAAAAATGACCACTGCCTTTAATCCTCCTTATCATCATGTTTTTAGAAAATCAAATCTGTCACCTTCAACCACATTGCTTGGAGCCCGTACACAGCTCTCTGGAGAAGTGAGGGCCCAGCCATGCCATGCTCTGCTACCCAGAGCATTTCTCGGGGTCACTCGGCCTGTCTGGGCCTCAGGTTACTCCCCTCTATATATCCCAGGCTCAGGGTGGCTAAAAGGAGAAGTAAATACTCAGAGAAAGAAGAGGGTTTATTAACAGATAGAGGCAAGTCCAAATCTTTGCTGGCACTGCTACCAGAAAGGCTGTCTCAGGAAAATAAAGACAGGTGCTAGTGTGAGCAAACAGTAATAAGTTGAGAAGTAAAAAGTCTAAGTTCTTGCCCTGGCTGGTGTGGCTCAGGGGATTGAGTGCCGGCCTGTGAACCAAAGGGTCGTCCGTTAGATTCCCAGTCAGGGCACGTGCCTGGGTTGTGGGCCAGGTCCCCAGCAGGGGGGTGTGCCAGAGGCAACCACACACTCCCTTTCTTTCTCCCTCCCTTTCCCTTTGTCTAAAAATAAATAAATAAAATCTTTACAAAAACAATGTTTTTCACACTTAAAGTTCTAAAAAAGGCAGCAGAGAACCTAGCCCCTCTCCTCTGACTCTGATCACTACCAGGAAGGGGACATTTGGGACCAATTCAGGAGGGACTCTCAGGACTGGAAGGAACCTGTGAGACTTCCACTTGACGCAGGAGTTGTTTCTGAGCAGCTTCTGCCTGAATAGCGGGTCCTGGCAAACTCACGAGCTTTCCAAACATCCCAAGCCAGGGCAGGCAGTTCTGACTGGCAGCAAGTTCTTTCTTACAGGAAGTGGGGTCGCGTCTGTGAGCCTGGTTGGGAGCATTAAGGAGGCAGTGTGGAGCGTGATGTGGCCCAAGACAGGAGGATGCTCTTGGTAGGAGCTGTTCTGTCTTTGGGAGTCCTTCCAACAACTGGAGACACCTCTCACCTCACCCAGGTTCCTGTTTTTCTAGGCTAAGCATCCCCAAGACACCGAATGATTAATTTTCAGATCCTCTTATGCTGAGATGTGTTGGTGCTCCTCTTAAAGTGTGTGAACAGAACAATTCAGAAATACTGAGTGGAGAGGAAAACAGAGACAGCAATTCCTCTGATGTGGTCTGGTGGCAGCCTGAGCCTGCCTGCCTGCAGCAGAGCCAGGGCTCTGGGTCTGGGTGATGCTGCAGGATCCACCATCTGCCCATTCGTTTGCTCCTGCCCAGGCTGTTTCAATCTTGGATGTTCAAGCCACAGTCCTCTGCACACTTTAGGGTGTAACATCCAAATCTAGGAATGGAAGTGGGCTGTAGGGGCACCGAGCTGACCTTCCTGCTCCTCAAAATCTCCCGCATCACCACAGCTTGTTCCTCAGATAAAAAACAATGACGATATTCACTTTCCTTACACTGAGAGAAAATCAGCTTGATACAAACGTAAGTCTTTAAATGCTAGGTTTAACAAGTTCTATTTGAATAATGAATAGAAGTGAAAACCTCCTTTGGAAACTGAACTGCAATAACCTTGCTTACTTAGGTACTAAGAGACAGAGGCATGAATAGCAAATATATAAAAATGTTTATTTGCTCGGCTACTGTCCTGTTTATATTGCAAAGTCTCAAAACTCACTAGGTCTCCACTGTTAAAAAATTAAAAGCACAGTTAGTCCTGGTTGAGCACTTAAACAGAATTTCATCACAGTAGAAGGGGGAGTGGCCTCAGGTACGTGGACTTTTGATTGACTTCTGATTAAGCCAATAGCATCAGGCCCCAAGTAGCCCTGCAGGGCCTGGTGAGGGGGTGGCAGCACTTTTCCCGCTAGTGCGGTGGCAGCAGCCGCCTGCTAGTGCCCTGTACCCGCCCTGATGTCGCACCAGTAATGCTTCATCTTGCTCACAAGTGACTAGACTTGGGTCAAGGTCTTGCTGAAATCACATACAAGTTCACTGCAATACTGTCAGAAAAGTAAACTGTAATAAAAAACTCTCTTACAAATGAAATGAGGTTCCCTAGAAAATTAAAAGAGGGCTATTAAGCTGAAAAGGCAATCTCATTTTAGTAAAGGCAAAAGCAGAACTAAAATGGATTTAAAAAATTCATTAATGAGAATACTTATAAATTTATTTGCTGAAATAAACTCTTCTCTACAATTAAAACTTTTCATAACATTTCAGGGAGACATTGAGTGACTATTATCTCTTATAATTAAAAATGGCTTTTAAAAAATTAATTCATACTATTAAAAAATCAACACATGAAAGCACAATAAAAGAGAAGAACCCCGTAGGCCTACTGAATTAAGATAATCCCCACTAACTCCTGGTGAGCGTCTCTCAAGCATGTGCAGGCGCACACTCACTCTCTCTCACACTCTCTCATTAAGTGGGGGCATGAACATCATCTTCCATGGGGGCTCCCACTGAGGGCACACGAGCAGGATGCAGATGTGTGACGGCAGCCCCGAGGCCGACGGGAGACGGGCTGGACTAAGGCCCAGACCGATGACTCAGTCTCCGCGTCATGTAGGCTCCTATGCACGGAGCCAGGACGGCGTGTCCCGGGCACTCGGACTTCGGATGATGGCAGGCCCGTGAGCGCTCTCTGAAACAGCTGATGTGGGAACCGAGCATGTGCAGATACCGAGTGGCAGCAAGGGGACTGTTACATGACTTAAAAATTCTCTGCAAGTGATCCCACTGATGCTGTGAGTGGTTTTCAGGCGCTTGTGAAGCCACCTAGCCTGATGGTTGGATGGGAGCAAGCAAAAGCGGTGGCTGCAGGTGGACTAAGTATTTCCCTCCAAACTGTGGTTCGAGCCGCAGGCACCCACAGAGCCCCTCTGACCTGGATCCTGTTTCATGAGGGAAAGTGAGTTCATGTGCCAGATGAGAAAGGCCGATGGCTAGCGCACTCACGGAACTTAAAACATCGCGGCAGAGCTGACTGGCTGACATTTATTGAGCACTTGTTATGTACCGGGCACTGTACCAGGCACTTCACATGCTAATTCCCTCCACCCTGTGATGGACTCCCACAATTGTCCCTACTTTGTGGGTGACTAAAAGGAGCTTCTGATAAATGGAGAAGCAGGGAGTCTCATCCAGGTACGCCTGCCTCCAGAATCGAGCAGGCGACCCTGTGCTAGGTTGGAGTAAAACTGCACCAGGTGTGTCCAACGGACACAGCCAGCTGGTGACCTGCTGGATGAGGCCAAGATGACTCACCCGAAGGCTGCAGACTGCCACCTGACCGTGACACCCTCCCGACATGTCATGGTCCCGGATTTCCAGGGGACTTCCCCTAAGTATCTAGTTAACAGATGGGGTGAGAGGTGATAAAATCATGTCCCTGAAGTGGAAGTTACTTGCCCATAGTTTCTACGGCTGAATAAGGAGCACTGAATTAAATCAATGACATGAGCTTGGCTGATCAGCATTAATCGACTAAAACAGCAGACAGAACTGAATACGGACGGCACGTGGACTCCGCCTGCACCGTTCATGTTGAAATCCGGGCGCCGACCAGGGAAGCTTCCATCTCAGGGCAGTTTGCCTGAGTACTGGCAAAGGACTGAGTGACATCCTGATGTGAATACCCCGTATTTAAAACAAAACAAGCAAAACCAAAAGCATCCCTGTGGGAAGCTAATCTTGGAAAATCAGTGGATCCAAATGGACCTGAACAGTCATCTAGCCCGACATGCCCTCTCCGGGAAGCCTGCCACGGACATCAGCCCCGACAGGTGGCATCCAGCTCGCTGTCCTGGGTGCTCCCCACTCCCCACAGCAGACCTTCTCACTGGCAGACGCTCTTCCTTTCGCCGAGGTGAGATCTGCCTTCCTGTAACCTACCCTCTGCTCCTCATTCTGCCCTATTTTTTCACCCCCACCCCCCGACAATCTTCCCAACTGCTTCTTCCTTGCAGGTCACTGTTCCTTAACCTCCGGCCAGGGGTCCAGCAAATGCTCAGAACATTAGACTCCAGGTAAAGTCCGATGGGCACAGAATACAGGGGTTGTTCCCGCAGTGGTCAGGGCACGAACGTTTCTCCCACAACTGTGCCGCTTCCCTCGGCATCTATCTGCACGGCACTGGCGCTTCCCTCTCAGGTGCGGCTAAGGAAAGCCCTGGATCTGTTCTTGGGTGAGCCACTGCTGCTGAGCGAGGTGGACTCTCAATCTGAGTTACTGCTTGTGAAATAAGTTATTTTGCTAGGTATTATCTCATCGGAATTAGTATGAGACTGGTGAAAGCCAATTCTCACCATCTTCACAAAAGGTACTCTACTTATTTTCTGGGGATCGTCTGGCACATGCAATCCGAAAAACAATTGGTTACTTACTCATTAGCATTCAAGCTAGCTGTGGCTCTGATGATCATGTAGCAGAGTGTGAGAGCACTGAGGAGGCCAAAACTGGCAATAATAAACCACTCTTCTGTTGACAAAGGAAAGGGAGGAAGTCACTCTGGGGAGAAGGCGTAAATCAAACCGACGTCAACATTTCCCTCAAGAGCAACGATGCAGACGTCAGCGGAGGTGGGAGCCCAGAGTGGCCCAAGGCAGTGAAGCAGCAGCAGGTTTGCCAGAGAGCTCCCAGCTGGAGAAGGTTAGTGGGAGGGGTGGTGGAAGCTGCCAGGGAGATAGGAGAGCCCGGCCCCGACCTTTCTTCCTGGTCACGTCCTGAGGTCTGCGAGGCGTGTGGCTGCCGAAAACCGTGCACTGAGAATATGTATACAGAATTGCACGTGGGCACCACATTTTTTCTACTTGTTAACTGAAGTGACAGTACAGTAGACTAGCCATGCATATAACCTTTCCTTTCTCATTTTGTCATTCCTGTGCATGTCATTCATTCTCAGACAATGGCTTAGAAGTACGGAGCAGTGGCTCCCAAAGGTCCTGGGGGCACCCCAAGCAGCCCACAGGCTGGCCTTCCAAGGCACTCACGTCTACCTTCTTCTCTCTTGTGCACAGGCCACTTACAGTCTTTATTCAAACATCACGTGGCCTTGGTGTCTCCCGGAAAGGCCTTCCCTTCTCAGTGCACAGCTGGAAGTGGTGCTGGGTGTTTGGGTTCTGTCGCACCCTGGCCAGAAGGGCGGGTGACCCACAAGATACCTGCCTGGCAAAGAGCCAAGAACCTTGGGCACACAGAACTCTAAGGATTTTTACCTCGTCTTGCTCCAGATCCAGGAAATCAGTTTATATTTTCTTTTAACTTTTCAAAGTCTGGTGTGTAAGTAACACCCTAAAAATATTTACTGAGAGTCTTGAAAATAACCTAAGAACCAATTTGACCTCCTGAAAGTCTGGACCCTAGCCATTTCCCAGAGCACACTGAGTGGGGCTGGCTTAACACAGTGTCCCACAGCAGAGCCCTGCGTGCCTGCAGCCTGGCAGAGAGGACAGCGCGGCGCTGGCCGTGCCGCCCTTTCCGCGCAGAGGCTGCATGTGCCGGGGCGCTTCCTATCCTGGTTTCCACGGGCCCTACAACTACGCAGAACAGTGTGCGCCTAGGAATTTTTCTAGAAAAAGGGGATTCTACTTTTCCTGGGTTTTAAAGGTGGTGGTCTTTAATTCCCTGTCCCCCTTGGTTTGTTTTATTAAAAGATGTAGCCAAGTTGTTCTTTTTAAATAACAGTGCAGCCTCTGCTCCTCAAACTACAAACTTCTCATTCGTACAGTGATTTCACAAGGTTTTTCTTTCAAGTCAAAATAAACATTTAAGAGCCCATACAAAATCCACCACTTCACCCACATACACGCTGAGTTAGGAAAAATGTGTACTGGCATTTAAAAAAAATTGAGAGATGACTGGTCATCGATATCAAAGAGCTTAATACCACAGCGTTCTTAACTGGTTTTCCTTAGAGACTTTTGTGCACGATAAGCAGACTCACTTTCAGACCCTCAATTATGTCTGTGCTTTTGAATTCTGAATGTACCATTCACGCGTGTGAGGAGTTTCGATAAAATCTAGTCATTGAAAGCAGTAAACACCATCACAACCATACTGAATGGGTGCAGGGCCCTTCGGCCCGGTCCACATGGCGGGGCCTCGGCACCTGGTCCCTGCCACGCATGTGTGCGCCTGCGCAGCACGGCCGGGTGTGCAGGGGGATTGGGCTGAGTGTGCTGGGGCAGCCAGCACGACAGCGCTTGGGGGAGGAGACAGGCAGCTTCGGGGTAACTCAGTCACATGGCTTTACTTATCAACATGCACATATTTTGCTAAGAGGGATTGGTTTGATAAATGAAGTGATTTTTTAATCATCAAAATAGATTTTAAAAGGACATTCGCACATAAAATATAGTGGAGTCAGAACTTAATATTGTAGTAGGTGCTCAATAAATGTTGATCAATGAAGGGCCTATATAACTCATTAATAAACAAACCTCTTCCATCTCCTTTATTACTACTAGAACAACTACAAAAAAATCTCAACGCCAAAGCAGGAAAATATGAAATGTGGTGAAAACAAATTATTGGGCAATGGTCAGAAATGAGTCAAACCACATCGAAGACCAGTTTCACGTATTTCAGAACTGAGCGGAGTCTCCTTGAGTTCAGACCAATGGCAGACCGCAACCTGGGCTGTGACGTCCTAACAGTGTGTGGCTGGTGAGAAGCGTGTGCACACTCAAAGACAGACCGTACGAGGCTCACTGTGAGAGGGGAGGCCTGTGTAAACAGCTTCCCCGCAGCTGGACTCACTGAGCGGAGTCCGGGGAGCTTTAGGGCTTGAGGCTGCAGGCAAGCGACAGCGCGGCTGGGGAAGGCGGCGCAGAATGCAGTGAGGTGAGTGCGGAGCTGTTAGACGGGAGTGACGCAGACAGAGTGGAGCTGAGGCAGACAGCGGCTGGTCACGGGAGACAGTGCACATGGCCCCACGCATGCCGCCAGCCACTTGCACGCATGAAGGCCTGACCGCCCAAATCCTCTCCCCACCAGCGGCTCAGCGATGGCGGCAGTCAGCGCCAGCCCTCGAGCTTCGGCAGATTTCCCCTTGGTGTCTCTCCCCGGTGTACAGCTGCACCATGGAGGTCAGTGCCCGAACACCCACCTTCATGAACAGAGTGAAATGAAGTGGGCGGCCCCTGGCCCCCTCGTTCTCCCTAACGTGGTCAATTCTTAGGCTGGCGGGGCTGCCTGTAGCCCAGGGGGCAGCGGGCCTGGTGCTCACAGCTACCCCCTCTCCCCCCAGGGGCTGCTGCCCTTCTTCATGGCCCAGCGGGACCCTCCCAAAGGCCTGTCTGCATCATACTCATTTTAAAATGTGTCTGCAGACAGCACCCGGGACAGACCTCTGAACACGTCACTGCTGCTCATCACACACACACACACACACACACACACACACACACACACACGCTCCTTACTGTGCAGCTGGCCTCGCTGTCCCCCACCCACGGCTGTTTTAACAGAAGGACCCATCACTTTCTTGGGTGCAGACCCAGTCACTGCCTCAACCTTCCCCTGGAACTGTCCCCCCACACCCCCGCCGCTGCAGTGCAGCACGTAGTCCACTCGCCGGCACAGGCCCACTCACTTGTTACTGCAATGTTGATCTCCCCTGTTCTGGGCGTGAGCTCCCCGTCCTGAGGAAGAGGCGAGGTCCCCGAAGCTCGAAGGGGCTCGAGGCCCAGGGAGGCATCGCTGGCCAGGTCGCCAAGGGCCGGCCGCCGGTGAGCCGCCTGGGCGCGGGCGAGCCGCTCCATGTCGAATGTAGCGCCCTCGGTGCACGGCACGCTGGGCTGCAAAATCGGTCCAGGTGGACAGTAGTTGTGAGAACGACATTTCTAAAGACTGACACTGTGTTGAAAGGACTTCGAGTTCTTTCCAATGTGATTCTCAATCATTTCTTCCTCCCTCCACCCTTCCCACTCCTACCCAAGAGTTTTTCTTTAAAAGAAACAAGCAATTTCCTACAAAGGAAAACCAAAATTGATCATAACGGGGAAAATGGACACTCTGCCTCTCTCAAGCAATGACGGCCTGGGGGCAAGGCCCCCAGGGCAGGACGGGGCATTGGTGTGCAGCTGACCAAGTCCAGTGGGGGAACTTTGGCTCGACGCTCCAGGCCGGCGGCGACATGCAGTGCTCCAACACCCCATTTGCTTCTCTGTGACGCCCCACTTCTTTGGCTGCCGTTTTTAAAGATCTTCCCCTTTAAACACAAGTCAGACTCCAAGGCAAGAGCCGATAATGCTGCACTGACTTCCGAACTGTGAGAAAGCTGTTTCAAAGCCTACACATCTGCCCCTGAAGGAGGGGCACAGAGCTGCTTGGGCCAAGGCAGACCCCTGGCAAGTGGACGTGGAGTCTGCCGACTGCGCAACCCGGTTGTCCGGTTTCCCTGGCAACCCACACTCTCACCCTGCAGCAGACAGCACACTAGAAGCAGAACTGGGGCCACTGGCAGGGAGAGACTTCCACACAGAGAAGTGACAGCTGGCCAGAGCCACTCGAGTGGCTCTGAGTGATGGCATTACACTCTGGACGGACCTGCAGCCCAGTGAGAGCCCATGGCGGTGGGGTGAGGGGGGTGGGGGGCGGGCGCATAACGACACCCCAGTCAGGCTGACTCTGTTTTGCATGTGTAAGGACCCATGGGTGGTCAGAATACATTCTGGAAAGACTTTCACTAACAGTGGAATGAGAAACTATCAGCAGCTCAAAAGACAGGATTTGAAAAACAAAACCACCAGGAAGGCTGGAGGCAACCAAAGAGGCTAAGTTAGCCTTTTCCAAGCATCTACCACAGGCCAGACATCGAGGCAGCAGCTCTGTACTAAACCCTCCAATGGGGTGCCTTTTTCCCCCAAGGGACACTTGGCTGTGTCTGGAGACATTTGTATTATGTGACTGGTAGTTAGGCTCATGGCATTTAGCCAAGGCTGGGACGTGGCCGAGCAGTGTGGCGCCGAGGTGCTGGGGTGCAGAGACCCTGCAGCGTTGCTGCGCCAGCGGCTTGGCCCCCAGAGACGGAGGGTAAATGGGACAGGGGCCACACCCAGACTGTCCCCTGGGAGCAAAAGTGAGAGGTCCACCTTGTGGTCAAACTGAACTTTCTGCTCCACAAAGGAGATAATTCATTCACTTTTTTTGGGACCAGAAAGTTGCTGTCTTTTTTGTCTAAGAAGCAAAAATCCTGGATATATACTTCTCTTAAGGAGGGAACTGTAATGGCAGGAAGTGTCCGAGGTCCTCACTTGGCCGGCGCTAACACACCAGGGCCACAGGTCCCTGTGCCCAACTAACACCAGGGCCCAGGTCCACCCGGGGCTGGCACTGCCCACCCTCACTGCTTGCCACTGCTCCAGGCCCAGGAGGGTGAGGGCAGATTCTAGAGAAAGAAACGTAAGCAGTGACATGTTTTATGTTATGCGGAAGGCAGGAGTCCAAAGACTATATTCTACTCCGTGTGTTTAAAGGTACTGGAATGCAGGAGAATCATGTCCGTGTCTCCACCACTCTCCAGCAACAGCCACCGCCCAGAGGCCCCGCTGGTGGCTGGCACAGCCCCTCTCCCCCGGAGCTCCCTGAGGTGGCTCGGACTAGCCAGGCCACGCAGCAAAGCAAGCACGGCTTTCCCCAAGCCGTGACCATCCACTTGGGCTGTCATGTCACACTCAGAAAAGATGCTACGCAAAGAGCAGGAATGAAATGGGCAACGTACCACAATTCCCAGGGCCTTTAAGATGTTGAGTTTGCACATGGGGCAGGTGCAGTGTTCACTGAGCCAGGGGTCCACGCAGGATTTGTGGAACACGTGCCTGTGAAAAAGGACAGCTGTGTCAGAAACGCCACACCACACCATGGCAAGGTCGAAATGCCAAACCACCACATCAACAAAGAGCCGACAGAAAACCTGCTGAACCCGGGCCTGTGTGCCCGTGAGAATGCACAGTGAGACGTGAGAAGTGGCGTTCGGCTGTTGGGGCTTTTTATGCCACCAAATTCCAAAAACCATGTGAGAAAACTTAGGAAATTTGTTAAGAAGGAAGACAATGAATTACACCTTAGAAATCAGTTGTGGTTTCTATAATGGCTAAAGAAAGAAAGTGGAATTTTAAAAATATATTAAATAAGAGTAAAATGAAGACTTTTCTATACAATTATTGCTTTCATGGAACTTAAAATGTCATTTAAAACATTACTTCAAAAGACCTATAAGCAGCCCTGGCTGGCGTAGCTCAGTGGATTGAGCGTGGGCTGTGAACCAAAGTGTCGTAGGTTCGATTCCCAGTCAGGGTACATGCCTGGGTTGCAGGCCATGACCCCCGGCAACCGCACACTGATGTTTCTCTCTCTCTCTCTCTCCCTCCCTTCCCTCTCTAAAAATAAATAAATAAAATCTTAAGAAAAAAAAAAAAAAGAACTATAAGCACCCTGGCTAAAGTGTTGCCCTGTAACCAAAGGGTTGCAGGTTCGATCCCTGCTCCAGGCCAGTATCTCTTGCATTGAAGTTTCTCTTTCTCCCTTCCTCTCCTTCTAAAAGTAATGAAAAGATGTCCTTGGGTGAGGATAAAAAAAAAAGAAAACAAAACAAAAAACCTGTAAGCAACCTATGCTAAGTGTCTGTGTAAGTTACAGGGAAGTTGGGACTATCGTTAAGGATGAACCGTATTTCAGCCATTTTTGGCTGAAATGTTACAGGGAGAGAGAGGTGATTCTCTCTCACTCAGGTGAGTGAGTGAATGATCAGTCACGGAGGGCTGCTACGCTGGAGCAGGAGTGAGCCCTCTGGGAGGACACAGTGTGCGTGGTCAGCTCCGGGGGCTGGGGTCCTCACTGCATGGGAAGGGACAAGCCCACGCCAGGGGCCGTGGCAACAACTAGAATCGTGTTTTGGAATCGGAAGAAATTTTGAGAAAGATACCATATTGAACCATGGTATGTCTTTAAAACTTCGATTTATACGTAGTTTACAAAGTTAAATACAGCTGTTGAAAAATGCAATTTCGATTTTAAAAAGTTAAGAGGTGTAGAAACTGTTCCACTGGGATTTGGAAGAAACATTTGTGCTGACCACTTCAGCCAGAACAATACACACCCATCCCCCTATTGCCCACTCGGTGCCCCCGCATCCATGTCTTTGGGGTCAGAACAAAGATCTTGAAGACTGATGTCATCAATCCAGCCTGCAACCTGCACTGAGCCAGAGGATGCACTGAACCAGGGCCCAGCCACCCCTGAAAGCTTTTATTTAAACCTGAAGGTTGTTACTGAAGAGGCAGACGTCCCGAGCGGCAGCTGTAACCTAACCAAACATGCGTCCAGGACGCACCACAGGTCCGCTCTCATTGCCTGTGTCCTGGACAATGGCTCTGTGCTGCAGGGTGCCACTGAGCGGTGCCCAGAGCTCGGCTACCCCTGTGGCTGCCAACGGTGCCTGACTGGCTGCCGTCTAACAAAGACAAGAACTAGGCTTTCAAGTCTCTCCGGGATGCAGGCCCCTTTAGGTCTGACAGACATGCCAGGCCCTCCCCCACCAGGACACATCTGTTTGGTATCTGGCATAGGTTTTGGGAGGCCCACAGAGACTGGGGGTATGCTCAGGGTTGGTGGGGCTGGGAGTCCAAGAAGGCTCTCGAGGCCAGTTTTATGCTGATAGGTGACAGAAGACACGGGGACACGTGACCTAGAAGGGCCACTGGGTCCAGGGGTGGCTGGGCAGTTGGCTTGAGGCAGGTGTGTGGGTGGAGACACCAGAGAATGGTGCCAAGTAGTGGCCTGGGGCCAGCCCCGCCCCCTCTACAGGCCTCTGAACTTCCCCCGCTGTGTCCCACCTCTCTGGCCTGTTTTTGGTTATTCAGGAAGAACAAAACAGCACACCCCCATGTTTAGTTTCTAAAGCTGCCGGAGTTGAGCGCTCCTTGCTCATCTCTTCCTTTAAACCTCAGTTATAGGTTTTTCCTGTATTGGGACGGTTCCTGGTAGGTTTGTGGAACAGGAAGTGCTCAGCCCCTGCTGTGGGCGCCCAGTGAAGGGCACAGAGACGGACTGGTTCTCAGGGAGCCTCCCTTTCTTAGACGACTCGCAATTTGAAAGAAGTATTTTCTTAAAAAGCCCACACCATTTCCTTTTGACTGTCCACCCACAGCTTTCCCAGCCCCAATCCCTAGCCCAGCCAGCCAGCCAGCCAGCCACCCTCCCTCCCCACCACCCTCGCCCCGACGACCTCAGCAGTCTGATCCCTCCGCGCATCCCTCTCCAGGTTGCTAGCTGATGGGAATGTTGGAGACTAGCTGCCCTGCTCTTGTTTCTTTTCTCCGTCAGCCACTCCCTCTGCCCTCTCACTTCCGCTTCCAGCTCCTCACTGAGCTCTGCAGGTCTCTGCTTTCCCGCAGGCGAAGCCATGAACCATCCGCCCTGGACTGGCACCCTTTCCGATTCCCAGCTGCTACCGCTGAGAGCTGGGGTGAGGGGTGGCGGCGGTGGCCAGTGAAACCTGCACACACAGGACCCCCAAACAGTGCTGAGGATGCGCGTGGAGGGCGCTGTGAAACCCGCACACACGGGACCCTCAGAACAGCACCGAGGACGTGCGTGGACTGCGCTGTTACGCGCAGGTCCAGGCGTGGAGTAGCTGCAGTGCCTCACATGTTCCATAAACCCCACAGGTGGGTGTGCCAGGCACCAGAGTGACCTACTGTGGCTTCAGGAGCCCCCCACCGAGAGCAGCACCCGGGCCAGTTAGACCTTGCAGAAGCCCCCGCCCACTGTTACAAAAGACTCGATACAAATAATAAAGCAATACAAGTGCACACGAAAGCAGGCGAGGGCCCTACGCATTTAGGCTGAATGGTGGGCTGGAATGAAAAGCAGGGCCAAGTCCAGGACAGTGAAACAGGAAAACGACAAGCAGGTCTGAGCTTCAACAGTCCTTTATTCCTGCGAGACACACTTTGGGATATAGAGTGTGCAAGGCATGGCACATGGAAAGAGCGAAACCAGTCGTGCTGGGATGCAGCGCCCCATCCCCCCCACGCCCTGCACGCCGTGCTGCTACGCATGGAGCAGCACTGGGGCCGGGATGGAGTCTACAGTGAAGGGGAGTTATTGTCACAGCTTTGCAGCCTCTTGGTGCTGTGCAAGAACCTGGCAAATATAAAAGGATCCAAGATTATTCAAAGTCAGAGACAAGTGCTCTTTCCCCTGGCTGGGAGTGGTGGCAGCAGACACCTGCAGAGGCAGGCCTGCCCTCGGAGGTGGGGGTACCACAGTGACAGGTCAGCCACAGCCAGGTGACTGACCCATTTTAGCTCCTCATGTGGCATCTTAGATGTGTATGTGTCCATGGTGCAGCACTCTGCTTATGAAGAGTATCTTCATCCACTAAAAAACGTGGCTGACTGACCTTTCAATAAACGAGGTCTAAATAAGGTCACAGCTTTTCCATTTCAAAGACATGGTGGCTAACACCCAAAGGAGAACTGACTGTAACTGAGAGCCACAGGTGGGGGCCCCAGTGCACCACCAGCTACCATCTGTTCACAGCACACCAACTGGATGGGCAACGGAAAGCAAAGGTCATGCATCAGAGGCCAACAAGGTCAGTTCAGGCTCCAGGCAGGGCTTGTTAAAACCAGGACAGACAGACTGACACAAAAGCCCCTGGGCCTTTCTTCTGCCCACACTTAGGAAAAGAGGGACAGTGAATGCAGCTCCCTTCCCAAGGCTAGCTGTGCAGGGAGAAGCTGCAGAGCGGTGCTTGGAGCTGGGTCTCGGAGCCAGGACACTGGTGAGGGAAGGCCTGGGCCCTGCTGAGTAACAGAAGGAGCAGAACTGGAGGGAGCAGTCGACCGAGTAGGAGCAGGCCCAGGGACAGAGGGCCGCCTGTGGAGACCTGGTATAGGTAGGCCAGGCAGGTGGTGGGGGGCTCAGGAAGCAGTTTCAGCTGACTGACAGCCACTGTTTTCTCTCTGAGGTTGAGAGGGGAAGTGTAGGAGGATGGGAAGAAAGGGATGAGTGAAGAAGGAGTTTAAGGAAAACAAGTACACCCCGACACACTGCTGTGAGGACCAGAGAGGCAGCGGGGGCGAGAGGGGGACTTTGCGGCGTCTGGGGCTGGAGCAGCCAGAGCTGCAGGGCAGCTCGAGCAGAGGGCAGCAGCAGCAGAGTCACAGGTCTCCTCGGTGTCAGAGACCTGCAGACCCAAGAGCAAGGGCAGAGTGCCTAGGCTGAGGGAACGAGGAATTCGCAGCACAAGGCAAGAGTGAAAGTGAAGGGACTTGAGAGGAACTTCCTGGCAGCAAGGCTGGGAGAAGACCTGGAGCAGAGACGTGTGTGAGTGGGGGCCATGCTCTCGGTGGCTGGTGGCTCTCCACTGCAGGCACCTAGAGTCCGTCCAGCTGTAGGCGGGGCCGGAGCCAGAGACCCTGCTAAGTACCCTGAAGTGCACAAAACGGCCCAACCCCCAGCCCATAAAGAATGATCTGGTCCCAAATGTTGACAGTGCCAAGGCTGAGACCCTGTTCTGGTCAAAAGTTACCAGCTTGGGTCCCATGGAATGCTGCTTGATGCACAGAGTTCATTTTCACTCCACCCAGGGCCACGCTGCTGTCGACATTTCAATGAGAAGGGGTTGCGATATACTTTAGAGAGAGCTACAACTTATGGAGGCTTAGGACGTAAATGTAGCAAACATCTACCTGCTTCAAAACGAAAGCAGAAGGTGGACACAGGCAGTGTAGGGGTGAGAGGAGCCAGAACTATGGGTGTACAGATATGCTGTAGGTTTGCAAAAATTGTAATTCTCATACTCAGAAGTGAACTACAGCCATAGGTTGAGGTGCCTCCTTGGGTGGCAGGGGGCCACAGGAAAGACTGAGACCACCAGGGCTCTAGACCCCCAGGGAGGGCATGGCCCTGCCTCGTCAGGACCTCCCAGGATATAACTGCACATACCTGCCATGCTTCTGAACGCCCCACAGCAAGTCTGGCACACAGGCGGGGTTGAAAGCATGGGGCTACGTTAAGGAAAAAGACAACCACCAATGGGACTCTGGAAGAGCCGATGCTCAGTGGGTGGAGAGAATGGGGAGCAAGCCCCCAACGTATCCCAGTTCTGGCGGAGGCCCCTGAGGAAGACGCTCAGGTCAGCGAGCGTCTGACCAGGAGCAGTTCCCACAGCCTTTCCTAGGCCCCCGGTGGCTCTGATACCCTGGAACCCTGGACTGAAACAGGAAGACAGTATCTGGAAAGACCTGGCTTTTCCCTGGTCGTTCCGGAGTCAAAACAATCTGTGCAGGTAAAAACAGATTTTTAAAAAGCAGGTGAGAGTCGGCCACACTTTCCGACGTGTGCGCCGACCTCTTCTGGATCCGCAGGTGCATCTCCCTTTGCCTCCTGTTTCGGCCTGTGAGGGGCCACATGGCAGAAAACCAGTAACTGCCTCATTAAACGTTCTATCATGGCTCCCATTTAGTCTCACAGGTCTACCTTTACGTATAAACTAGTTATCCTTAGGTTCCATTTTTTTTTAAGCAGGTTTTCCTAGGCTAAAAACAGATCACTCTAATAAAATCATACCAGTAGGGCAGAAGTGTCAAACTCATTTTCACCAGGGGGCCACATCAGCTTCCTGGTTGCCTTCAAAGGGCCGAATGTAACCTTAGGACTGTGTAAAGGCAACTACTCCTTAGCAGTTAAGTGAGAGCTTGGCGCTGCCACCGGGGAAAAATGAGGTGCCGGGCCAGATAAAACCAGGTGGAGGGCTGGATTCCCCCTGTGGGCCTTGTGTTTGCCGCCTGTGCAGGAGGCTCACGGAGACAGTGCTGCTACTTGTTTCACTCGAGTGCATCCTGCATGATGAGAGGGTCGCAGCTGTGGGGACGGACGTGTTGTGAGCTCAGGGACAGGGGAGAGGAAACACCTTTGATTTCAGGTTTCTTGACAGGTGCTTTCCACGCAGCATCCAGCCACACTCCTGTTCCATGTAACCCATGTTCAGAAAAGGACCACCCCAGTGCCCAAGTTTGGGCACCCTGCCCACGTGTGCACTGCCGAGGCTCAAAAGGCTTGGGTACGAGTTCTGATTTGAGGAAGGGAGGAACGGGGGCTAGTTTCCAAACCCGCTGAAGTCACAGAGTTAAAATTTCGACCTTACTGCTCTCTAGACTAGGGAAGTAGCTGGAGGTTGTGCCCCGAGTTTCTTATAACTCTAGGACCAGAGGAAAGCTGTGCAGCCAGTTACGGCCAGGGCCTGGCCCACCACTCTCTGCAGCCCCTCAGGGGCAGCGTGCAGGCAGGCAGGCCCAGGCCCCGCCCCGAGAGGGAGGCACACTGACCACTCTGGCCATGCTCTCTTTTAAGCAAAGAAAGTCACCGTACTTGCAGGGGAGGATCCGGACCACGTCATTCTGCTTGTAGCTCTCTATGCAGACGGCGCAGTGGTCGAAGTCCGGGTCTGTTTCCTGAAAGGCAAAGCACAGAAACTGGAGTCACGCACTACGGCCCAAAGTGCATCAGTGCAGGAGAAATGACCCCAGTAAAAACCTTCCTATGGCCAAATGAATTCTTACAATGTGAAAGGTTATGAAAAAATTTAATGCATCCACCTGCTTAACTGTATTATATCTAAACCAATCAATTTTGTCTTGGAAGTATTTTGTAACAATTAATACTAATTCTGTTTGTGAAACATCTTAGAGGGCAGAATTCTAATTTTTTTCAGGATTCAAACCACCTGTGACCCTGGACAGGGCTCACATCTGGTCCCCACTCCTGCTGTGTCTCTTTCTGGCCTGTAGGTGTCGCTGTGCACCCCCTTACCTGGCACTCTCCAGGAGCCCCCAGAAGAGGGCTCCCTGGAGACCCACCCCAAGGACAGTCACAGATCTGGGGTACAGAACCTTGGGCTCAACTAGATGCTGGACCTTATCAGGAGTCAGGAAGGTCCAACCAGGTGTTCAGTCACCCAGAGTAACCATGCCCTTCTGTCTCTGGTGTGGGGAGGAGTGTCCCTGCGTTCCTGTCAAATGGAGCATCTCCAGGAACCCGAGCCAGGACAGGTGACACCGTCTGTTATACTACCTCCTGGAAGGGCCAGGGGAGCCACACGGAGAGGGGGTGTGGGCTTCAATAAAGAACAGCTGTGTTCTGCTGGCCTGGGGACAAAGCAGGGTGAAGGCAACTGGGCTGCAAGAGGCCCCTGCGGCGGGGCCGACTGCCCTGCCTCGCCCCCCTTCCCCCCCCCCCCGCCTATCTCCTGCTGGTGTGTGCCCTGCTTTCTTCCCTGAGCGGTGTCAGTGGGAATGGGTGTGGCGGGGTCCAGGCTGTGAGAATAAAATGAGCTGAGTCAATCACATGGTAAAGCTGAGGTGAGAGGTCATCTGAACTGACCCGAGCTCTCTGGGGAAGCAGCAGAGCTGGGTGAGGGCGGAGGACGGTTTTGGTGTCATGCGTCCAGAGCGGGGATTTTTTCACTCAAGGTAACCCTGATGGTCTCACTTTAAGCTGCTGTCCTGTTCTCCCAGGGCAGAAGCAGGGCTCTGGCATAACCTGGGGTCCGAATGCGGAGCTGCGTGAGCAGCCTCAGCCACAGCCACTGTCACCGCCTCTCCGGCCTGGCCCTGACATGCCGTGCCCTCCTTGCCAGCTGTCAGGCCCACAGAGAAAGCCCCTGCTAACCAGCGCTCCATTTAAGGGGTGAAGGAAAGAGACACAAAGGAGACGTGGCCAAGTCTCAGAAAGCAGACAGGATGACGCACACTCCTAGCCACTTCGTGTTCTTCCCCAAAGCACGCTCAATTTCGGCAGAAGGAAATTCTGGGACCGCCACGGCTGGCGTGACTGCATGTCACCCGGGGAGCTAATCATGGCCAGGGCATGGGAAGTCCAGCACCGGCCGAGGCCTCCAAATGGCTGGCACACCAGGCACACGATTTCAAAGAGAAGCCAGTTTAAAGCAAAGCATTAGAATATACCTGGAGAAAATTATACCCTAAGAAATGAGACGCAAACGGCCAGGGAATAAATATTCTCTCCCACCAGCTCAAACTCGTAACTGCCGTCTTCCTTGAGCAGTGTCGCAGGTGCCTCGTCACTGTACCTTGTCGCCCTTCTTCACCGTTCTGGTCGTCAGCTTGCTGATGGCTTTCTTGGCTGCATCTCCCAGACGACGCTATAAACAGCATAAAGAAAAACAGACATTAAGTGCAAGATCTCTGAACACTGTTTATTTCAAAGTGATTAGCGGATAGAGGCCCTCATACCCTACAGCACACCCCAGGTCGCAGCATGTGAGAGCAACCGCAGTCCTCCCACAGAGCCAGTGCTGGGGGTGTGTCACGAAAAAGGGGACACAGTCCAAAGACCAGGTGGCACAGTTGCCACTGCGTTTTATATCAATAAGCATGGGAAATACTGCAGTGTTGTCAGAACCTACTTCCGGTACATGTCAGAGCCCCCCTCACTGTGCTAACGGTTTCCCCACTCTGCTCTGTAGACGCCACTGTCTCAGCTCCTTCTCAGTGAAGGGCCATCTCTGACGCTCCCTGAAACAGCTCACTGCACCGCCCTCGGCACAGACGCGGTTCGGAGTGCTGCTTTGGCCTCTGCCACTGCCACACTCTGTGGTCTCAAAAAGGGACACACACCTTCCAGGGTGGAGGCACCAAGGGGAGGAGTCCGAGAATCTCTAGGGCTGCATTTGTCAGACACTGCCAGACGCTCCTAATACTGCCAGACACCAAGAACCCAAGATGAAAGGACAGCAGCCCTGAGCTGGCCCAGTGGGCGTGGCAGCACAAGGGAGCGAGGTCAGGGGGCTCTGTGGGGTGATGCCCTTGCCAAGGCTTGGACAACAGAGCAGGAAAGCATCAGGTAGGAAAAAACGTGGGGGTCGAGAGGGGGTCTCCAGACGAAGACAGTGCAGTGAAAGCACACAGGTGCGAAGTGCAGGTATATGAAGGCAATTCCAGTTCAGTATGAACTGGATGAGTAGGGTGAGCATCATTTTATTGTTCCGATTGAAACGCTCTGAGAGCCAGAGGGCCCTATTAATAGTTACACGGGGACAACAGGTGCAGAGAAGCACACGGGACAGGTGGCCACTGGACAGAGAACCAGGCTCTAAACTGTGGGGGCTAAAAGGGGAAACGCCTTGGATTCTACCCTGAGGATAAAAAAAGTAATAAAAACACAACAATTTTAGAGGAAATTAAAAATATACAAAGATAATTTATCGAACCTCTTTGCATCCATCACCCAGTTTCAATTATCCATATTTTACGTGTATTTTTCATCTATTCTCTCTCTGTATCGTTCCAGGAGATTTCAAAGCACATCGCAAACCTGTAAAACTAACTGCACCCACAGTCTTCACTATGTCTACAGACGTGGGCTTTCACTCGGTGCCACTGTCTTATCGCACAAAACAGTGAGATAATCTGACCCAACAGTTAATCAATCTGACCCAATACTCAGACTCTCGAGCCTCTTTTGATCTCTAAGTGCCCACTCGATCATTTGCACATACGCGCACACACATGCGAGCACACACATAGAAGGCCTCCAGATGATTTACGCGCATCTCTTCGTAAACACCAGCCTTGCAGAGGCAGAACGGGCGTGCAGTGAACCGCGCACATGCTGTGCATCACCTTGCTTTAGCGGGACCCGGGGAAACCGTCCGCATGATCAGGTGGCATGCCCACCAGCCCCCTAGCGCCTTTGAGCCTCTTCCCACTCCCTTCCCCCAACTCCCACTCCACGCCCTACAACTGACTTTCTAGTGTTACCAGTTTAACATAAATGGGATATTTACATTTATTTATGTAAATGAAATGTACTACTTTGCTGAGCATTTCTTTCACTCAGTGTAACTATCTGGAGTTGAATCCATGTTGTTGAACGCACCCACAGTTCCCTTCTCTCTCATGCTGTTCAGTGCCCCACTGCAAACACAAAGCAGTGGAGAGATAAACACTGCAGTTTATCTCTCCACTGCTGAGGGGGCTCAGCACTGTTATCCAGATTCCGGTTCCAATGGGTGCAGCTAAACACAGCGTCCGTTTCTTGCATGAGTCTTCATGAGGACACACGCTTCCTTTTCTCGGGGTGAACACCTGCAAGGCAGGGAGGGTCGGTGAATATGGTCGACTGAGTCTGGTTTCTGAGACCCTGCCAAATGTTTCCCGAGTGAGGGAACATTCTGCATTCCCACCAGCAGCGCAGGGCCACATGGGTCCCCGAGTTCTCTCCGCATTCAGCATCAGTGCTGTGGGTCTCCCTGCGGCTTTAATCTGCCTTGGGTGCCAGCCGCCACCTGAATGCTTCCTCTGGGGAAGTCTGTCCAGAACTTTTTTAAGTACCATTTGCATTTTTTAAGTGAATTACTTTTATTCAGTGACACTGGCCCTTTGTAATATGTGGTAATATCTTTTTTCAGGTTGGTCATTCAATTATCTTTTGATTTTCCTTTAAAAACAGTCACTTTTCTCATTTTACTGAATTCTGAGCCACGATTCAAAGCTTTCCAAATTTCCCATCGTAAAGGCAACTGTAGCCCTTGTTTTGTTCTAATATTTTCAGCTTTACTGTCTCTAGTTAGACCTCTGATTCATTTGAAATTTCTCCTGGTGTGCAACGTGAGGGATGAAACACTATCCTTCTCAGTCCCACGACAACTCATCACAGGGTCTGTGCTCCCCGCTCACGTGAAACGATGCTCTTGATCACATGTGGCGCCGCTTCCACATGCAGTTGTGCTTGTTTGGGGTTTTGCACTTTGTTCTGTTGCTCTGTTTATTCATGGGCTAACTTTTAACACTCTTTCAAATAAGGGCTTTCTATGCACCGTAAAACGTGGTGTGGCCAGCCACCCATCACTGCTCCTTTTTCAGGTTTTCTGTAGCTATTCTTAATTACTTACTCTTCCACATGAATTGTATAATTACCTTACCCCCCTCCCATAGGTGAAGGTAGTTTTATTGGGATCAAATTATAAATAAACTTAAGGAAAACTGACATCTTTATTTTATTGAATATTTACATTCAGTTGGAACGAGGTGTTTCTTTCCCATTTAGTGCGTTCCGAGTCTTTCCAGAGCGCCCTGCAGTTCTCCCCACACGGAGTTTGCAGTTTTTGTTAAGCTGACACTGAGATGGATCCACCCACCACCCAGTTGAGTGAATGGCGCCTTCTACTCCCATGAAATCTCCTGATCATTTCTGCATGTTAACTTTACATCCTGTTCTTTTACTAAATCTTTTTCCTGTGTGTAGTAGTTATTTAGTGGATTCTTTTGAGATTTGCAGATAGACACTCAGGTCAATGGAAAACAGAGAGACTTTTCCAAGTCCTGTCCATCTTCCTGCTTCCTCCACCTGCTCGGGCCACCAACTCCAGCAGGGCAGTGGGCAGCAGACTGGCACACGGGCAGCTCTCTCTGCTTTGTCATACGTAGCTGGAACATCTACATATTTGTCCATTAAGTAAGATGCTGGCTTTCGGGCTGAGCATAGGTGTGCATGGGTGTGCTCACATGGTGCCGAGGGCCTCCAGGGCTGAGCTACCCCACCACCTTCTGCACCTGATGCTCCTCAGTGGTGAAGGCCTAGGCCTCTTTCTCACTCGTTCACAAATTAAGAGTCTGTGGTGCCATTTCTGTTTCACCTGCTGTCCTCGGATCTGTCTGCTCGGGCTCTCCCTCAAAGTGCCTGCTCTTTTCTGGGTTCTGGCTCTGAGCACCAGCGGGACGACCCCTCTCCTTCCCCGGCTTCCTTCCTTAGAGCCACAGTGCTGGTCATTCGGGTGCTGGCAGTCCAGTCTGACTGCTCCCTCCCGGGCGTTCCTGGGTATGCCGGGCTGCTTGGTATCCCTGAAGGTCGTCTGTGGGTTTTCTTCTTGCTGTGCTGCAAGCTCATTTAAAAAAAAAAAAGACATTTGGGAAGATTAAGAAGCAAATACCTACTGCTACCCTCTTGTCCAGATCAGAATTCTACCCAAGAGTTTTAAACACAAGAGATCCAAAATGAGATCTGAATTTTGGAGATAAAGGGCCTGAGTTAGGCAAGCACAGTGGGGAGAGGAGTGGACAGAATCATGGGAGATTCAGGAGGCAAAACTGGCAGAACCTAGTTAGTGATGACTGACTGACTGACGTGGGGGCACGAGGACAGAGGGGACTCACAGAGAGCTGTCCTGGTTCTCCAGCTAGGTGGCATCACGCAGGCCAGGGAATATGAGGAAGAGGAGTGCAGGTGCTGGGGGAGGAGGCGGTCGGCCTTTAGCAAGCCAACATCGATGTAGGAAGAGCCCGTGCATTAAAGATCACCCACAAATACCAGGACATATCACCCCCTCAACTTCCAAACTTTCCAAATCTGTGGCAAAATGAAAAGTGTATTTTCTCTGTGTTTGCTATTAATGTCAATTATCTTCATTCTAATATTTGTCTTTGGACTTGAGTTCTGTGTTACCACCTTCTGGATCACCCCTTGGGTTTTCAATCCCTCCACATTTCCCACCACTCTGACAGGTACATCTCTGCTATGATTCTGGTCTCTCACTTGAATCTGTCTAAAAGCCACTGTCCCCCTCACCCCCCCACACCGCTTGGCTGTGACACTGTTAGTGTCCTGCTGACTCTCAAACATCTAAGATAAAGCACAATTTGTGAACATTTTTTAGTAAGGTTCCTGACCTTCACCTGCCCATCACACCACCAATCACTGTTTTTCAAGTGGGCAAATGTCTTACATCTGTCCAGGTGCTTGGTAATATGAAATGAAGACGACATGTACAGTTAACTAGGATGTATTCAGTGCATACTATGTGCTACTTCCTGCTCTAGGCCCTCCACATGTACTGACTCATGTGATCCTCACCATCATTTTAAGAGAAAGGAGCTACATTATGCCCGTTTCATAGAAGAGGAGATTGAGACACAGATTAAGTCACCTGCCCAGACTGAAAGGTGGTAAGTAGGTCCTAGCCAGACTTCCAGAGTCAGACTGCAGGTGGAGGTATCTTGGGGATCTGCAGTTTCAAAAAATGTGCCCCTCAGAAGAAGGAAGAGTAGGAAGGGGAAGAGCAAGAGAAGAGGCAGGAAGAGGAAAAGGAGGTGATGGTGGAGGAGGGGGAAGAGGAACGGAGCCCCTACCTGATTCTTTTGCCTA